TTTATTACTGAAAATTTTTCAGAAGTATAAAATCTATGAAATCAATGGCTTTATGATTGAGCAGCGATGAGATATTTTTTGTAACAGCACTTAAATGAAGAAACTTTACTAACTTTATATTTTTGTGAAATATTATTGTACAAACTATATATATTATAACTGAAGGATCGTCGATACAGAGTGGTTCGATGGGGCGGAGGAGAAAGTAACCCTTTATACCTCAAATTTAGAGTGTGTACAGCACTACGAAATCTTATTTTGTTAGAAGACAGTTTTATTTGAGATTTGAATGTTGTCAAGACGTTCGCGGTGAACATTTTGAATATTTACTTCGTTAACATCCATATCTCTTTTTCGTATTCTGATTCCATTACGTTTCACATTACATTCTAGTTTTTGAGTGTAATTTATCGAATTTCAGTAACTACATGATTTTAATTTATTTTATCTTGTTGCAATAAACTTGAAAGCGACAAGATTTTTGAATAGAGAATGAAGAGACCTTTCAAACGATATATCACAAACCTATAGGTACTTCCCATTTGAAAAATTGAGGGTTGTACCTATCATTCGAAGTGGGTTGAAGGTAGGGGTGGAATTTTCACTTGAAGAATGTCAAATTATAATTTCCATGTGAAGTGTTTCTGGATTTCTTATAAATATGCACAGTAACCGAAATAATGATTTATTCCATTTGGCTTTCACACACTGTATATGAAAAGCTGATCAGAACGACTACCGATACACCAGAGTACTAGCTCTCCATCAGTACCGAGAGAGCCATTTCAGGCGAAATGACCCGTCTGAATATCCCGAACAAACAAAATTGATTTCAATCTGAAAAACTGTCTTATATCTTTGTTAGGTCGGCTTCGTTGAGAATCTGTATTTATTTGGTCGAGCCACATTAAACCCTTCAGGACGTCGTTCGACCCGGAATCTCATTTATATGGTAGGTTGGTGTATTAGCGAATTTTCAAGACATATTTGAAATAAATGTATAATAACTACACACTAAAAAAAGAGCCCTAATCTTGAAATCATTCAAATTAAATATATCATCAACAATAATGAGAGAATCATTGAGGTGATCTCTTATATATTGTTTATTTTAAAACGGAAATATTTCTCAGGAGGGTCCTGTCGATCATTTATCTATTCAATTACCGAAGTAGACTTGGCTGTCATTTGATATAGGCACCTATATAATTGCTTTAATTCTGAAAAAGTTTAGTTTTTTCAGTTTCAGATTTCACATTACCAATCGATTTTCATTTCAATGGGCAATTTTTTTGTCATAACAGTAACTGTCATACCTCCTCTCAGATTCCTAGCTGAAATAACCCTCAGAATTCAAATAGAGAAAGAACTAAGTGTGGCACAACATCAAAAGGGTAATTTCATAAGGAATTCATTCATGTATACGTTCACTACGTACTTTTCATTTCGACGGCTTCATTTGGAAGATAATGTGAAAAGATAATGATATTTTAAATATTGAACTTTCCATGAACCCAAAGAATGGAAAACTGTGCATAATTTTAAAACTACATTTATTTTCATTAGATGCTCGATTAACTGTCTTACATGAGGATCAGTTGTTTGGTATTTTGGAGCACTGCTGGAGTTAACTGAGGGCAATATTTTTCCCGCAAACGGGTATCAAAGTGAAAAGTAACGTAGTGAGCTTTTTCAATGACGTGNGTTGCGAATTTTCATCAACACACATAACACTTTGTCTATTCAAATTATTAAAACAATCTTCGCTAAGGAACGCGGGAGGAGGTATGGCAGTTGGAATTATAATAAAAAATGTCTCATCTGCATTTTCTCCTCAAAATTCATTCGATCTGTTTCGTTTACGTTGGCGCACACTATATGTAAACATCAATTCGATCGCTTCAAATTAATAATGAGAGTTTTCATATAATCTACAATCTATTGAGGTGAATATAAAAATATTCAGATGATGAATATAGGCGAAACCCGAAAGCCAATCAAAAAGAAAACATTGTTGTCAAGGATGTGATTTTATATATTTTATCCTTATTTTTCCTCATCTTTTCAGTATACTTTCCATACACCACTGCAAGAGAATTCGGTGCCTACTATTTTGGAATTATAGTACAGTATATCACTACATCAATTGAACGTTCATCATTGAAGAGTTCAGGGCGAACATTATGAAAACTCACTGAAACGATGAAGTATTCTCCTTCATTATTTTTTCATCAAATTAAGTCAATAATCATCCAGTCACGAATGCCGCTTGGACGCCAATCTTCGAAATTGTCCCAATTCAATTTCCAATTACAGCGGTAATGTGCATTCAAAATGTCTGGAGAACTCAAATTGAAAATCGATTTTCCCGGTGCAAGTTTCCACAACTACGATAAGATCTCCGGCAAGTTTTGAAGTCTACATCTGGAATTGTATAACTGTTTTTTGATTTCATTAGAACTGTTTCTTTCATGACAAGAGTGGTCTGTTTAACAATGATTATTCGCTTTAGACTCCAGACGAAATACAAATAATCTCGAATTGTATTCCATTTGAATTAAAACCATGTTTTTTTTCATTATTGTCAAAATATGAATTGAATGTTCTGGTTGTTTTTGACGAACTATTATCATAAAAAATGATTCACAGTGAGAATTACATATCATCGATGACAG